CGTTTCCCCGTAACCAATGTGTATTATACATATACGTCAGGCCGGCCGTTTTTCAAATAATTCCGTTTACGGTTCCGAGCGAAACGAGAAATATAACTGTTGTACACATTGTGATAATATTTTCGAACGAGGTGTTCGAGTTTCACAATTACAGTGCATGCGTCGTACCGGCTGAGGGAACGGTAACATAAATCCCGTGAACCTTTTGCGGTTTATTACTTTATTCATTAGGTTATTTTTCAACGAAAAATGAATATCATTTTCGATGGTGTAAAATGTTATCGGTTTGCGGGCGTCAATCGAATTGTTTACTAAACATTATAATATATGTGTACATGCCATAGTCCGCATCAGGCGTATATAAATCGACTGGGTAACATTACTAATACCGGCATCGGTTGCGCGCACGCAGGGCGGGAATCGGTTTTTATAGCTCCGGGGCGATAGTTGCTGTCGGTTTTTACAACGTCGCACAATGGATAACAAACGCGTAATATAATGTGGTTTACAATCGATTTGATTCAATCAAAAAAGACCCAGAGCGAACCAATCGATCAGAATAATACGCGTATAAGTTCATAATACACTAAACAAGTGTTGATGTAAATCGCATACGAGCGTACAAATAAATGTAAGGAGAGCTGTTGCCGTAAAACAAAAATCGGACCGCGAACCGTATAATGTTTGAACAGACGGTTAATTATCATAACTAGAGCACGGATTTATATGCATTTGCATATTTGTGTATGCACGTCTATGGAGGTTTAAAATGTCCACGATTCATATTGCACCGAATTTAAACACCAAATTTTATATTGCATATTTGCAATATAATGTTTGCGGCGATTGTTTTACAGCTATAATTTATCGCGAAAACACCGGTCGGCCGCCGTTGCGGTCAAAAAAGTGCTGCTGACCACGCGGTACACGGTACGGCGACGAATGCGATACGAAATACAAAATTACATACACGTGTAAACGGTATTATATGTATCGCAGTACTTTTGTCACTGCGACTGCGGCCAACTGATGTTTTCCACGGTACGTATCGGCGCGTGTTGAAATAACAGTTGTAAAACCGTCGTCGGGTTCATGCGAACCTCGCCCGAGAGCGCATGTACCGCGTTGCGTAACAATATATTTACGAAGGAGAATCGAACGCGCGTTACATGCGTTTATTATTGTACCCGTTCGTCAGCAACTGCTGCAAGTCTAATGCACGTCGCGCGTGTGTAGAAATAGTAGTGTAGTAGTGTAATAATGGTGTCCGTTATGGTGGTGGCGATAAATGTGTGTGTGTGTGTGTGTGTGTGTGTGTGTTTATTTTTTCCGAAAAATACCACTTTCGAGTGACTAAATTTAAAGAAAAAACAACAAAAAAAGAATACTCGTATTACAAATATTTGTTTCTGAATAGCCCGCGGACGTATATACGTACGTCACGTGAAAACGATTCTCGCGTTGACATTTCACACGTGTTGGGCCCTTTGAAAAAAATCCGTTTCGTGACGTCGTTTCCCGGCAGACAATTCGAGCTTCGCCCTCCGTATTCTCCGTCGATAACTATACCTCGCACGCGTGCACTACCGTCAACCGATTGGTAACGCAAGTGCAGCTAACGGGATAAGGGCGGGCACTGATGGTCGCGAGTTACACGTCGCGACACGCGAGTAGGTAAGAAATAGAAAAAAAAAAATAAAAATAAAAACCGCGTACACTGGTATACCGAGGCGCGCGCGGTCTACATACGTCGTCGGGCGAACACGTGAAACGCTTTTTTTTCCACCGCACGCCCATGGGTTACGGGTCGAACGTCACCCCGTTCGCATTATTATCGCTGCGGGGATTCGTTAAAATTCACTACCGATGTTGAAATAACATTTGTAGCAGATTTCGTCCGCGTCCGTTAGACCGCGGCTGCACAGGCCGGACGGAAACATTCGCGCGCTTCGGTCGGTCTCGTTCGCGTCGAGCGCAAAATACGATCAGAGCGTACCATGCCGTGCACGAACGCGGCCGGTACGCGCGCGCGTCATGTTATCGTCACGACGGCAAATCGAGACGACTAACGGCCGTCAAACCAACCGGAACGCGTGTTCTACGGGCTCGTGCGTACGCGTCTCGCGCTGTTACGCGTTTTTCTGCGCTTTTGTACTTGCACACTTTGCGCGTTCGTGACCCGTCCCGAACGGTAACAAATAACGTCGACGAACGTTTACGGAGGAAAAACCGTTTTGAACGGTAACAGTTGGAGTCCGTCCCGCGGAACGGACGAACCCGTCCTCAACACCACCCGATCAAAATATCGACGTGGTTTTCAAGTCGACATTTAGCAGTCGATCGGCAACGCGGTTCGCAGGACGACCGCGGAGATTCGCAAACCAATAATTCGTCCGGAAAAGAGGTGTCCGAAACCCGCTCGTGTATCCGGCCCGTGCCCCTAAATAATTTGCATTTCGATTTGACGTCCATGCAAACATTCCGCACGCAATCAGCAACGGTTCGCAAGGCTTTGGTTTAATCATAAAAAAAAAAAAAATACACCGAGGGTGGGGCTGGAGACGTGTGCGAATTTCGGAAAACCTCTTTTACGGACGAAATGTTGGTTTGCAAATATCTACGAATGTCCTGCTAGTCGAAATATTTTAAAAACTGTTTTCCATGATATCGGTGGGGTCGGGGACGTGTATTTCCCGTCATTAGTTTTTTTTTTTTTTTTTTACGATTAAACTAAAGCCTTGCAAATTAATGCTTATTGATTGCTAAATGTTGACTAAAAAAAAAAAATAAAACCTCAATACTTTGATTAGGATTTTCGTGCGGTACAACTTGTGTTTTCATCATCCGTTGTCTTTTCGGGATAATTCTCGCTCTGTGTCCCGGGTACGTACGAGGAACGCAAAAGCATAGGCTTAATTTAACCAGCCGTATTTATTTATTTATTAATTTGTTTTTTATCGATTCATCCGTAATCAGCACCTGATAATGAAAAAAGTTCGAATAGGAAAAAAAAAGAATGTAACCATGGGATTTTATAACCAACTCGATAATCGGAATACGAAATAACGGAACACGTTAAATAAATAAATGATGTTACATTGACAAGTGTTGAGCTGCTTATTTTGTACCACATAATCATTATTTGATTTTTGTTGTATCAAATCCATGTGACCATAGAAATTAGTGATGGCGCGGGGGCGGAGTACTTAAACTTGTACAATTTAAGCCCCCCCCCCCAACCCCTTAACAATAGTTCAAACAAAAGACAGCCACGAGACGAAGAGAAGGAACGGGATTCGCGGCGACGGTCGGCCCGATATAAGTTTTCGGTGCCATCATCTCGAAGTTTTCGAGTTTGTTTTGAATATTTTATCGGTCGCTTGCGTACGGGGTCGTCCCCGGAGCAATGCGCGCTCGAGATCTATAGCGAACGCTGCTCGAACCCGAGCGCCGCGCGGAATCGTAATAATTGCGCGCGGGGATCGAGCAAGTCTCGTCCCCGCCACGGCCAACCCTTCCGGCAAAGGACGTGCGGCACCACGATCTACTCTTGCACGGCTGGCGGCGGTTCGTTACATTCGTCCGAGGCTGTTTCGTCTACGCGCGAAGCTCGGTGAAGGGATCGGTGCGGTTAGGGGTCGGCTTACGACCAGTCGGTGGAAGGGTCTCCGGTTTAATTTCGAGACCTCGAGGCAACGCGGGCGCACACAAACACACAAACGTGCAACGCACCGAAAGGACGCAGTCTTTGGATTATTAAACTTCCCATAAAAACGTATATACCCCGCCGGTACATCTTTTTCCGACCGGGTTCGCTTTATTCGAAGCGCCCCGCCCGTCACCAATTCATATATATATATATATACACAAAGTTGCAGTTTTCTGTTTTTCTTTTTAATCCGACTTTTGGCCCTCGAAAGACGTCGTTTATTTTTTTTCAGCCGTCGCTGCGCCTCTTCCACCGCCATCAAGCGGTACATTTTTAATTAAGAACTCATGCTACACACAAACAAGCATATATATTCACGCGCACGCCGAGAGGACTGCATTACACGTATATACGTATATACGTTGTCGTCGTCGGTCTTACGTTATTTCCTCTTCGAGTCGTTATTTTTCCCTTCCGCCGTCTTTTAATCCGCATAAACGGTAAATTGCCCGTGGACCCGAGTGGGTTGATTATTATTGTTATCATCGTCGCATTAATATTATTATTATTATTATTATCATTATTGTAATACGCCGCGCACTCGTATACACGGCGGCGGCGGTGGCAGATTTAATTCGTAAAACTTTTTTTTTCTTCTTTTTTTTTTTTTTTTTTTATTTTACATCGTTTCATTTGCATTCGGTCGTAAATCTTGTTTTTTTTTTTTTTTCCGGCGGCATCGGTGGGTGGGTCTCGAGATCGGAGATGTTCCGCAAACATGCGTGCACACGCGCTCGCACAGCCATACATACCTGTGCGAAGCCTACGTATTGTGCACGCACGTATTGTACCGGAGTTTTACGTAAAATATATAATACCAACTACATCTCCCACTGTCCGTCCCCGCTACGCGTACGCACCATTCCGATTGTCCGGCCGCCGTAAATCACCGACGACCCGTGGTCACCCGAGGAGCATAATTTATTGTTCGGTTTAATGTTTTCGTTGGCATAACGGTACGTTTAATCGCTGCGGCGCACGGTATATACCTATACGATCGTCGGCGGCGGCGGCGGCGGCGGTGAATCTAAAAACACAGCAACAAAAAAGGGTAACAAAATCGTAACGCGCGCGTTTGCTGTACCGGGGCCGGGATGTGCAGGAAAACATACCGAGAGAAAAGAGGACACGACGGCTATTGTGATAGTCGCGCGTCCTTTTCGTCCCTCGAACACAATAATGATGGAACCGACGGCGTACAATACGAATATCTCCGTGAACGGAAATAAACCGATGTACTGCAATGGGAACGTTACGCACACCGACGCTCAGTAAGTACCGGTCAGCAATGCAACGCGTTCGTTCACGAGTCCATAACGCGCGCACGTATTTAATTATAAATGTGCGTTGCAGTGCGCGTTGCGGTATGTTTAATAAAACGTTATTCCGCGCACATTCCGAAACGGAATCGATTAATACGAATTAATAATCTTTATTTTCAACACGCCGTCGTATTGAAGTCGGTGAATAGCGTCGGAGAATATCCGCGCGCGCGAGCGGAACACATGCCGACAGCCAGACAAATTACGAGTCAATAAACGTTCGTGTATTGCGATCGCCTCGGTGCCGGGACTCGTATCGTAAGTACGCGTGTACGTTTTACAAACAAAGGGACACATGGTCAGCAGAACGGTCGAGAAACAATATTATGCAATACATGTACGATAATGTGTGCTTATATTGAAAAATTCTAATATTCCCACGTCAGAGTTGGCCGGGACGCTGCGCGCGACAGCGATGTTCGTCCCTGACCCAAGGGATCCACCCCCTGAATAAAACGGACCCATAAATTAAATGTTTTTTTTTTTGCATCGCGCTTCGAGATCTTGTCCGTTTAATGGTAACGCTGAGAAGAATACAATAACTTCCATCACTCGGGACGGTTTTTCGATCGAAAAGTATTGATTGCTTGAACGGGAAAGAAACGGATATTATAGGGTGCGCTGTAATTACATTAGATATGTTATATTCTCGGGTTGTTCGAAATATTATTGCGTAGAAAACACGAGCGTCGCGTGTAAGAATGCTATACACTAACTGTTGAACATAGCAGTAGAGGAGGGGCGGGGGCGATAAACAATACAAACCCTTAAAAGCGTATAATACACACACACACATACTTATAAACTCATACTTTATAAATTATAAGGTATACGCGAGTTTTTATCCTAAATTGCGTTCGGATAAGATCGCAGAAACGGTTCTTTTAAATTACTTTAAAAACGTGTATAGGTATGCGCGAGTATCTACTGCAACGATTACGAGTGGTCTGCGACGGAGCCGATTAAGAATGTGAAAAACTAATTTGGGTTCACGACAAAGGTTAACAAAGTGTGTGTACATCTGTAATGTAATAATATTGCTCGTCCGCCGTATACGTATGCTCGAAATGACGCTTGAGTGTTATTTAAATTGGATTGCATTTATCTCTGCTGCGGCAAAAGATTGAACATACGATATATTATTATTATACTAGCACGGTAGTACGTTTTATTAAGTTTTATTTTGTATTTTTTTTTATATATTATCAACAACGCGTCGCCACCGTCATCGTCAACCTCACGAATTTTTCCGTTTCTATTTCGCGTTGCACAACCCATTCGTGCATAACCGCACTGTACACTTATTTTAAAATATTTTAATCAAGTTTAACGGCGCATATAATATGTTAAGATGATCGTCTAGCATAGTTGTCACGTTAGCGGTCCGCCGTGATCTCTTCACGTCGAATATGCGAAAAACAAATTTGAATATGCACACCCACGGTGGGCGTAATACGATTAGTATATATGCACAAACAGTTCGAACAATTATTCAACGAAATGCTCTATACGTCGAATTTTTTACGGAGCAGTGAAATTTTCGGTAAAAAAATGTTTCTATAATATAACGGAAAAAACGTTACTAAAGTAACACACATATATGTAATGAATTCATTAAATATTATTATCGAATACACTTTTAAACTATTGACATTCGCGGAGTGCACAATCGTAGACGAACAAATTTAACGATTAGCATACACTTGTGGGTGTACCTTCAACATTATAGTTATTATTTATTATAGTGCAATGTCGAAATTAAATTATTAAATTGAACATATTAATATTTATTATGTGTATGACCCTGCCATTTTTCAAAAAACCGTCTCGTTTCGTTGGATAGAAATTCTAATACACGTGTGTGTGTGTGTGTGTGTGTGTGTGTGTGTGTGTGTGTGTGTGTGTGTGTGTGTGTGTGTGTGTGTGTGTGTAATATTATAAAAGCGAATTGGGGGAGGAAAAAATCAAAAGCGTCATTACAGCGTGTTTTACGGTCGTTCCGGTGAGGGCAACAACCGGTTAAGAAGAGCACTCTACAGCGACCCCGCAACACTTAGTTGCGTGCTATATACGTATAAACATTTGTGCTATTGCCGATTTGGCGAGGAGCTAGCGAGTTTTTAGAAATCACTCGTATATATTGTATATAGCTTTTAAAAGGGTCCTTCCGGGGGCTTTCTATAGGTTATATTGCGCCATCGACGGGGAAACGAGGCCATCGAACGGCGGTCCAAATGAATTTTTAACGGGCGGCGTGTCGTGCTGCGGACGACGAGAGGGCGGCGGTGGTGTAATCGGCCCATCCCGTTGATGATGATGGCCGCCATCAAGACGGTAATACAGGGCCTTTGCTGCGGTGTGCGCGCGCGGGCGGCAGGGTTCTCCGGCGAATCGTACCCCGCGGGCCCGCCGGCTCGTCGTTGCACGGGGCGTGCTGCGGAAGGGAATATGCCGTTTGTGCGACCGCCGCTGCCGCGTGAAATCAATTGGAAAGACAATACGACCCGATAAAATGTACTCTGGAGGTTCGACGTGACGTTATATGTACGTATATATTTATATATATATATATATAAACACCTTATTACTGCAGGACGAGAAAGGCTCTTCTAGTGTTAAAAAAAAAAAGGAAAAAAAAACCCCCGAATGAAAAAAAAACACAATTGTCCTGTTAACGGACTTTAGAAAGCCGTTTTATTCGGTCTCATTGAAAAACAATCGTTTTTTCTTTTTACCTCCTGGCCCCCGGGAACGAACGCATCGTTGCGGTGCGCTCGACCGATTCGTATGAAATTTAAATGACGACCACGAAAATGGTCGTTACCGCGTATTATAATATATATTTATACACGTACTACACGTACACACGCGTCATACGAATTGGACAATTTGTATTTATATTTAAAGCGTATGGTATGCGTGTTCAACAGCACATTATTTTATTTCCAACACTCGAACGACGGTTCAGTGAATTTCGCACATAGGATTTCAGTATCGAAATTATACATCGTTTGCATGTTTATTGTGAATTTTAATGAAATTTCACGCGGCCGTCATGATCATTTATAATTACGAGCCAGCTAGTTTTGCGTTTATCATGTAATATACTAAATAAATTTAATTCACATTGTCATAACTAAATTGATACTAAAAGTAACTGGTACAAATATTATGCGATAATTGTAAAATTACGATGTAGTGTACATTTTTTATGTAGCACATCATTAACTTTACGGCATAAAAACTATAGACGGTTTTAAAATACTTTAGTTTTCGTATATTAATTAATTTTTATAATATAATAGGTAAAGAAGAAAAAATTATAATCCTCAAAATACACTATGTATATTATTATAATACATTTATGTATGACATAATTTTTGATAATGTGATATTTACATAAGGATAAAGATAAAATACTGATATTGAAACACGACATAAAAAAAAAAAAATCCCTGTAACAAAAGAAATGTAGTTTGAATAGGGTTTCCTTTTTTCCGGCTTAGGCGCATAAAATATAGGGGAATTTTTAAATATATGCTTTCCTAAAAAAAAAAAACCCTATCGTTTCGAAAAGGCGAAGGGTTAAGTTAGACTGCCCATTATACCTTTTTAGCATTAGAATAAAGAGATTTCATAAATTTCGATTCCCGACTGAGAAATGGGGTGAAAGAGGTTTCTTCTTTTTGGATGTGCTGTAATAAAGCAAAACGAAGCCCTCTTTATTTCGTCGTCCATTATCTTTTCGCTTCTACCCGGTCCCGTTGTTGCGAGCGGTCTGTACGATCCCAATGATAATGTTATATTTTTTCATAAATAGGGTGGATTCTTATCGTTTATTGACAAACTTTTGGGGATGACGCTCGAACCGTTGGTTTTGCAATACAAAACATACACTACAACTTTCTATATTCTAAACACAATATTAAATTCATCGTAATACTACACTGTATAATGAACATACTGCAGCATACATTTATACACGAATGGGCAATACTATTTACGAGGTCATAACTTTGTTGTAAGATATTTAATTTGTATTTTATATATTATCATATATTACGCATAGTACAATAATTAGATAAACATCGTAAACAGTTCGTTAATATTAAAAATGTTCTATAAAATATTATTATTATCCAGAACAACTATTTTGTTCCAGGATGAATTCAATGTACACTTGTGGTGGTTACGGGGAAGAAAACTTAAACGGAATAAAAATGAATTATCGGTAAAAAACTTCTATTGAATAACCGAGAATTAATTTTGTCACTGCGTTATTCTAATTCTTATTTTCCCGTTTTAATTACAACATAAATCTACAGTGCTTATAATAGGGAAATAATTCGTGGACATAAAATAATATCATGAAAACATTAGCTGTCCCTGCGAATGATAGCTGTGATGATGTTATACATTTACACGTATTACCAGATCTGAATCCAATGCTCGCGAACCAATCGAATCGGAACGGCATGCAATAAACACATAATTGTTTACCGTTATCACACGAGTACAAAACAAAACGTGCAGATTAAGGTAATGGAAATAAAAACGCTGTTCGATGAAATCCGTACCACGTAGAAACGTACACCGACCGTTCGGGCGCGTAACCGTTTTTTTTTTTTTTTAATTAGGTTTTTATCGTGTCGGCCGCGATCTCGGTTCCGTTTTGAACGCTGCGTCCGAATTCGCGCGTTCGTCGGATTTTGAATAATAACAATAACGACGACGACGGTGATGATGATAGTAATAATAATGATTGTAATGTATGCGAACGTGGCGAAGGATGATAGGGTTTGCCGCGGCCGCGGGTGTGCAGGAGATAAAGATGGCGGCGGTGGCGGCGGGTGGAAGAGGGAATAGGTTTTAACTTTAATCCGAAAAGCTGATATTTCACCGGCGGCGGCGGCGCGTTAATGGTCCCGGAAAAGCCAGGCTCACCCCCTCCCCCGTAAACGAATCGGATTCATCCCGTATTCACGCGCCCGAATGTGTTAACACCCCCCGCCCGTGATTTACGCCAACCGGCGTTTCCCGGGGATTTCGCCAAAAACCCCAAGCACGCATAAATCTTCGTAATCTTTACCCACCGTTTCCTCCCCGGTGCGCGCGCGTACACCAACACGTATTATAATTTACGTGCACCCCGTTCGAGAAACACCCGCGCGCGTGCGTCAGAAAATTTATTGAACGATGATTTACGCCCTCGCCCCGGTTCTCCTCATTACGGGCACTTTTCACGCCGTCCGTCTTCACTCGGACTTCCGAAACAACGTCGAGTAATGAAGATCACGTCACCGAGGCAACGACGTGCGTCGATCTGCGTGTAACACCGTGTCGTGTCCGCAAACTATATTTACTGGTTTCTATGTCCGTTCGCATGCCGGCCGATATTAAAAAAAAAAAAAAAAATATCGAAACGCGATTGTTGGATATTATTCATTCGTTCTAGTCAATGTATATAAAAAAAAAAAATAGTCACTCATACGACTCTTTGTTGACGGTTTAAATACGGATAAATAAGCAAACAGTTGATACGTAGCAATAAACGAACGGACGAATAAACAAAATAAAAGCCTAACCAGGAGTGTTATATTGTATACGTAAAGGACGACCGATTGTCCTGCGCGTGTAATTGTATTAAGTGTTGATATTATTACTATATTACTGTTATTGCGTACGTAACCGGCATCGTGCGGGTACGCGATATCGCTACGGCGGCGCTAACGATTCTTATTGCGCGCATTTACATACGCGTAAATAAACACATACGCGCACACGCGCACACGCAAATGATAAAAGTATTATTATTTTCTTTGTTATTGTTGTTTTTATTATGTGTGCGTATGCGGTGGCGCGCAGAAGAAGTCCTAAGGACGAGCGTCTTGATGTTCGATTATCCGCGCGCGCGCACATACAAATCCGAATCGTTTTACCCCAGCCGGCGAATGGTTTTACGGCCCCGAAACGACGGCGGAATTATATCATTCGACCGTTCGCGCGCTCTATTATTATTATTATTATTATTATTCGTAAGAGTTGTGCTGTTGTACGTATTCATTTGTTTATTGTACAGCTCGGCGCTCGCAGACGTTTTGGGAGCACTGCTGCCAAAAAGGACTTGATCGCAAAATGAAGCGACGGCTGCGGGTCGCTCGTCAGGTGTTAGGTACACCCGTCCGCGTGGTTAGGGTTTTTGCCGTAGAAATTGAAGCCTATGCAATTTTTCAATCAGTGAAAATCGGTCCAGGAGGTCGACCGAAATGTTTGCGCTCAAATGTACAGGCAAATCAGTACCCCGACGGAGGCAAAACTCCAAATTTTTATCTGGGAGGGAAATAAAATTGTACTTCCACTAGACAACCACGATCCGAGATCGGCAAAGCAAACGAAGCACTCGCTTTCGTTCATCAATCGTTATAAAAATTATTCAAAAAACGTGATCAACGTGTTCAAGTTGGATATGTTGACGGTACGCGTTGTTCGGCATTCGCGATTCCACCAGTCGCCGGCTATTGCCGTTACGTGCACTTAACTAATAATAACTAACAATGTACAAATGATTAAATGTGCAAGAACTTAAATTTTTTATTCAACACCGTGTTACATTAGTCCCAGTGTTCACGTTTTCGTTCATTCTCGTATATTTTTCACTGACGACTTCGATTTTTTATGACTTGTACTTTTGTAGTCGATTGTAGCCGTTTTCATCGTGAGTTTTTGTTCGAAAATTTAGAACATTTAATTCTATTTTTTCTATTATCAAGCATAATTCAGTTTTCTATCGAATGTTTCGGAATAAATTACATTTACGGGGCCCTTACGCTCAGAATCAAACTGTAGGGCTCCGTTTACAGCGCATTTCGCGCGTTCTTGTCGAGGACACCGGAAAACGGAAACGTTAACAACCCCCCCCCCCCGGCAGGAGCCGACGACCGGTAAGGATAGGTATAAGCGGGAGCGCTTTTTTTTTTTTTTTATCGAAATTTCTTGCAGTCCGTTTTGCGAGTCGCACAATCCGCAGCTTAATGGACCGTTTTCGTTGAACTACGGCTCGCGGCTACGAAACGTCTTTTGCCAAACGATAAAAGCGGCGAATAAAACCCATCGCTCGGCCATATTAACGACCGTGCCGAAACTAATTAACCGACAATTCGTTTTAATCGTTCGCGAGCATATTGTATTGCGTACTCACGTATATTTGTATGTCTAAACGCACCTGTTATAAATAAATGTGCGGTATTACGCAATGGCAGATCCAGGATTTAGTTTTTTTTGAAGGGGGGGCCCATAGTCTAGAATGCAAATTTTAATTTTTTTTTTATAATTAACAAATACATACAAATAGACAATAATTTTAAATGCGAATTTTTTTTATTTGTTGAAGATTATATTTAAATCATAATAATATTGTAAGAATTCTTATAATATTGTTATATATAATATCCAACAAATAAAAAAAATACATAGAATAAACAAATAACATATTTATATATAACATAAAAAATACAATACATTTAAATGTATAACGAAAAAGATGATTGTAATCTCCTAGAATTAAATTTTGAAAACATATCCAATACTTTTTCAGGTTTTACATCAATTTGTTTATGGATATTAAGCAAAGCTAACCCATTTAAACAGTTTTCCCCATTGTTTTTCTCAGTGGCGACGCGAAATATTTTACTTCATGAGTCCTGTTAGGATTTTGCCCCAACCCTCATTCACCCACCTAAAAAGAAATTTAAGGGTAGCTTGTAAAAAAAGCTCCTCAACTATTCGTTTTACATGATACATAACCACTCGATACCCAATGGTCAATACCCACCCACCTATCTACCCACTGACTTGAGTCCAGGGAGTCAAAAATCTGCCGTCACGCCGCCACTGATGGGAGAGATCTCGTTCATTGGTGCGGTGCCGCCAAGCCTGGATCATGATAATTTGGGGGCTGGGGCCAAACAATTTTTAGGGATCCATAACCATAATCAAAATATTAATGACCCTCACATGATATATATATGATGAACAGGGTTGGTATTTTATAGCACTTAAAATTGCATAAATATGCGCTATAATATTACCTTAAAAATCGCTAAATAAGCTCTAAAAATATGCCATAAAAACAAAAAAAAAAAATTTATTATTGAATAATTTTATACGAGCACACGAGACGAATTTGGACTGTATTAAGCGAATTCTACTTTCGTTCATTGATAATTGGCTATCAGTAGATTTTAATAGAAATCCACAAAAAAACCAACAAAATCAGCAGATAACAAAAATTAGAACCAAATAACTAAAACGAAATTATTGTATTATATTCAAGGCTTTGCCCTGAATAATTTTTTCGGGTTTCGGGTGTTGAATATATTCGGGTGTTCAAACACCGCAATACAACATTTAAACAAACGTTTGGGTGTTAATAACCGTTATTATTCGGGTTAATATTGGTTAATAGGGTGTTAAATAGTCAAGGAAAAATATTACTTTTCATTGGTGGAGGACGGTGAGCCCCCCTCCATTAATGAAATATTTATATTTTTTGTTACCTGCCTATGTAATAAAATATCAATTTCTTATACAATTGAGCAACAGTTTTTAGACCAAACTATCATTATGTTAATTTCAAACAATGGTGTAACTACGATATATTTTCGGGGAAGAGGGGGTTATTTTATGTGAGTATGAAGCTTATAAATTATAATATCTATAAAGATTAAAAATACTAAAACTATGTCCTACTCCTAGTTAATGCGGGCACATCACATGCGACAAAAAAACAAACTATTTTGTATTCTGAATTTGTGTTTGCGTCATAGACGGAAATCGGGGGGGGGCTTGAGGGGATTAAACCCCTAAAAAATATAAAGTACAAATAAATTGATAAGTGACTAAAAATGCAATAATTATTATAATTGTAAAATGCATTTTTAATAACTGAATTAAAAAAAAATATTCTGTGATAAAAATTAAATCAATTTTGTAAGATTTTACAAACTTCTTGTCATGACTTAGAAGATCGCGATTAATTTAATATTAATAATATGTAATAATATTCGTATAGGTTGTTTAATTTAATTAATTAATAATATTTGTTTAGAATACCTATTCCAAAAATGTGTAAGATAAGGCACCTAATTGTTATTTTGTTTAAATTGTTGATTAAAAATGTCAAATTGTCAAATTTTGTAAATTGCCTTGTTGAAATAAATAATTGCGTACAGTGGTATCTATAGGTATAATAATCAAATAATACTCAGTCCCCCTCACAAATTTCACCAAATTTCCGTTTATTGTTTGTGGTGCGTGCACAGTGTGCACTGCATACACTAAAAACGCACTAGCTAGAGCATAGCGTAATACAAAAATAATAATAATTTGTACTTATGAATGTTACGATGAAATTATTACACTAACCAGTGCCGTTTCTGGGTTCTGCGAAGCCCTGGACATCATTAAAATTCGAGGCCCTACAATATTATATCGAAATCCATAGGTACACCACAATAGCGGTCCTCAATCCATATATCTATAATCTATTTATACATGGTAGAATGATAATGTTATTTTCGAGAACTTCTCAAGATTGTAAACAAAAATACGTTTCCTGATTTGGAAAAAAAATAATGTTTATTTCGTATTTCTATTTACTCTAAATGTAATAATAATATTAATAGGTACAAAATTAAGGGCCATAATTACCATAATTAATTCGGGGACCCGTCCGCAATTGCGGACTAGCGGTACGGGTCCGTCCGACTCAGCATTAGATCCTAACTTGACCAACCATCGTGCCGGCTTGTAGATAAATATTTTATGTAGAATGAAAATTTAAATTATTAATAATCAAATATTTGTTCTTACGTTAAACTATTGAAGCCATTCGTTAATAAAAAGTCTATGATTTGGCCTTTTTGCTTTTTGAAAATATTTTTAGATAACATAGTACAATTTAAAAATAATAGATATCAGATAGTAAAATTATAAAATATAATAAATTTAATATTATATCCGTCCATATTATAAATATATCAAAATCAATAGAATATATCAATACAATACTTATAAATTGGTCGAGGATAAATTGTTTAGTATATTGTAATAACAATCGTACGAATACTTTCTGTTACCCATTTCGATGAATTAAAATCTGAACTAATGCTATACGTCATTTTCCGGAACAATGAATGCTTATGACAAAGCAGTGTTTTTTGGAACATAACTATTATTTTATTTAACCTTATAGTGACTTTCCGCTCTCTCAATGTTTAATAAACTCAAATAAGACTTATTATCTAATTTAGAATGATACTACATTAAACACTTATGTTTTTATATAATTTAATACTGATTGTTACGAGAATGTAATTTAATATCATAATACATCAAAAGTGTATTAACTGCAGGTAGCAAACACTATGGAGAGTCTTTTGAAGAAATATTTCACCGACAATATACGTGTTGACCGAAAATAATGTGCAATAAACAGTTTAAATGAATTTATAGAACCTCCGTGACCAGCATGTGGCGTTGCCGAGCAACTCACGGATTTCAAAGCTTATAAAAAGAATCGAAATCAAATAAAAGCAACCTATTTCTCATAACCGTCTGAACGATACGTACATCTCCTACGAAAACCGTCGCACGGATTCGTCGTGAAACGTAGCAAATCGTTTTTGGTTTGATTTCTTTTTGTTTCTCAACAGCCAGTTGACGCGGTAATTCTTCCGACATGACGTCGTTGTTGCCCAGAAGAGCCACGCTTGCCCGGACTACAGGTAAATCCCCAGAATGTGGTCGCGGAAACGGTCAATCAACGGAGCAAGGGAACGCGACCGAGCAGCATAATATCGTCTCGACGGACCCGATCTTCCGCCGACGCGAACTGCTCGCGTTGCGAACCGAGACCGTCGTCACGTTGGTCCCGAAACTTTCGTTTTCTTTTGTCAACGTGAAAGACGAAGCGTTGAAATGCTACGAACAGATTTTCGACCATCGTGCCGATCTCGCACATTCGGTAGAAAAAGTTCTTGACACTCTGACGGAACTCAAAAAGTCGTCGGTCCAACACGACCGAAATGTATTCGATTACGTGTTGAAGCACTTGTTCAGCGAGATCGAATGCTTCCGAACGTACACCGCAGAAGCGTTAAACAGATGTGCCCATCTGTTCGGTGGTGTGATCGAACGCGGTTTGATAACCGATCCCGAGGCTCTAGGAAAGGCCTTGGCCTTTGTCCTGGATGCTCTCAAGGAACATCCGTACTCGGAAATGTACAACTTTGGCACGACTGCTTTGATCCGGTTTAGGTATCGATTATGGTACTGCCCTCAGTACTGCGTTTCGATATCTAAAATTCCACATTTCAAAACGTTACCGACCGGATTAATCGTGCACGTGGAACGGAGCGTAAAGGCGAGGACCCAACCGTCGACCAAAAGCGCGGACATCAAATGTTTACAGGAATCATTTGTCGTGACCCAGCCGGAAGAACGCGGAGCAACAGTTACCGCAGAAGCGAGTGCCATCGACTCGAAGCCCGCGGAAATCAAGAGTCGTGAACAAGCGGTGGCAACGGTCGTGCCATCGTCGGACGCCTCGGCAGGGTTGGCCGCTTGTGCCGAAAGTGTCGAAGGGACGATCGCATCGCTAATGGCTCTACCGTTTACGCCTACGAAGACACCCGAAGACGATTACGCGGAACAAATCATAATCACCATGACGTGCCTCCACGAGCTGAACATTCACGGCAAGTTTCAGCACATCAAAAACCGGCTTAACAGCCACGAGAGAATGGTGTGGTTCGCGGAGTTTCTGGTGGCCCACCATGTAAGCCGTATACGTTCAAATCTCGGATTTTACTCGAGGTTGATGCAGTACGTCGGAAGCGATTTTCTAAACGGCCTTATATTGTCCGAAACGTACCGGGCGATTCGAGGTCTGTTAAAGAACAACGATCGCGGGTGCAAAGATGAACTGTCCAACCTCAGCGACTTTTTAGGTATTATCACGACCACGTTCAACAAGTGCAAACCTACCGAAGCAGCGGATATCCAGCTTGTCAAGCAACAAGTTAAAGCATACACGGTTAAAGGTCGTCAGTATATGTATTTTTAATGTTTAAAAAGTTATTTCTCGATTTAAATGTTCACTAATTTTTCAACTTATCCTAAAAACATTTGTTCGTAGATTTTTCTTCAATGTTTTTGTACGTGCAACTATGTAATTGTATAATATTTCTCTTCACCAAAATGGTATTTTTTTTTTTATCAGACCGTTTTTGGAACTTTGTGTATTATAAGTCCATGAGAATATATATTATCATTCATAATAAAAATTTATTACTTTGTATTTTTATTTTATGATTTATAAAAAAGGTTTTGTCTTTTGTAAATCGAAATAATTGTATCTAAAGTCGATGAATTTAAATTATCTGTTTGGCCAGCATCGATTTGAAGAAGTATTTAGCAAATTAGGAGTGACGGTGTTTTAATTAAAATCAAACAAATGTGTTCGATCAATATGTAGTTTATTAGGGCATAAAGTTTCAAAGGATAAGATTAGACTAAAAGAAAATCATTAAGATACTCTAAAACAATTTCCAAATTTACAAAAAGTAATAAATATACCTTAATTTATTGGCTCAACTAATAATTAAAGATATTTAATTAATAATTTTGCAAATATTGCTAACACCTTTTACTTAATTAACTAACAAAAAACAAATATAGCAAGATAAAAGCATGATAATTTCGTATCTGCTAAGAAAACTATATCCGGTGAAGTAAAAATACGTTTATAAAGATATTGAATATGAAATTAGGATCGTGTATTGATTTTTACTTATTTGTAAAGATAAAAAAGTACAAAAAAATTAATTAATTAATTATGTACAGTTTTTATAATTTGATATTAAAATATTATAAAATAAATCATAATGGTAAAAACGAAGATATAATAAGTCCTGGATGAAGTGATTTATTATGGTATATGTTAGGTTACCTATTTAGCTAAAAGTATGACAAAAATTAGTTGCCCACCCGTCAAAATCAAAAGGCGTAAGATCGAATACTTTTTTTATTCCTATGATTCGTTTGCTCATTGTTTACCTTATTTGTTGTGTGAATAATTGGTTCAAGACAGTGGCGGCGCGAAATATTTTACTTCATGAGTCCTGTTAGGATTTTGCCCCAACCCTCACCCACCCGCCTAAAAAGAAATTTAAGGGTAGCTTGTAAAAAGAGCTCCCCCACTATTCGTTCTACATGCTACATACCCACTCGATACCCAATGGTCAATACCCACCCACCTACCCACTCAGTGACTTGAGTCCAGGGACTCAAAAATCTGCCGTCACGCCGCCACTGGTTGTTCTTAAATATGTGTTTATGCATTTTAGCGTTGAGTAAGACCGCTCACTTGTCAATGTTGTTACAGTTAATATTGCCAAAATTAGTAAAAGTTGAAATTCTCATACATTATAGCATTATATTATATATAATAATATATCATTTATACCATTGTTTTTGAGCGAAACAATATAAAAGATAAAATTCTAAAGATTAAAATAGAAACACTACTGAATCAATAAAACCTAACTTTGGCCAATGTAGGGGCCGAGGCCCTTCGCCCCCCCTTAAATTCGCCGCTGGTATTGCGTACCGAGGAGCGGTTCAATAAATCTCGCGAAAACGATTTCCGAAGATATCTCACGGACGCCGAAATAATACGTTCGCACGTATTATACATTACCGTCGAATATACGTTGTTGATCGACTGGTGCGCTGTAAAAAGTTGTCAGGTATTACGCGTGAGAGGTTTACGATTTTTTTACGCGGGACGCAACGACCATTAATAATTAATAGTTATGCGTAACGCTCTCTCCCCGTTCAATGGTACATCGGGTTTTATATTATAAAACACGCCGTATACATTTCAATACATTTTCTACGAGTTTAAACTATTTATGTACATGTATACAAATGTGTACAGTGTGTGTGTGTGTGAGAGAGAGAAAGAGGGAGTGAGAGAGTCTCGCTCGCGGAATTTTCGTCGAAATCAAAATTTATTATAATCCTTCGGACCACGACCAACGAGGCTTAATCCCTTTTTACGAACTCGTTATGTACGTGTACGTATAATATTTTATTTTTATTCGACCCGTTATAGTGCACCGGCTGTCGTCGTTTTTAAACGTCCATTACTGCATTAATATGTATGAGATAAAAATAAAAACATTTCCGAAACACTACACGTGATAATTAAACCGTACGACGAACGGGCGCATAATAATGCGTGACTAACCGACGGTTTCATGTAGATCCCAACGAACGCGCATCGTATTAATGCGAACTTTAATATGCTACGTAGGTGAAACGTTTTACAGGAAAAATTAATTCCGCGTTACCGATGGACGTATCATGCACGTTACAATCAATACGTTAGGCCGTAGTTGACGAGGAAATTAGAACGTGCGGCTGTCGTACGCTGCAGACACGAAAATTATTATTACGAAAACAAATCTGTATGCAAATTTACACGACAATAGTATATATTTACAATTCAGTCCGGGTGCTCTCTCTTCTCGGGTTCTAACCTAACCAGTGAACCGAACGATATCAACCCCGGTAGAAAGCGCCCACACGAGACGGGCCTGTCCCTGACAAAACGATATAATGCTTAACGCGCAGTGTCAACCGCTCTCGTGTACCATATTTATTTTTGTTCAGCAATATCTCATCGATGCGTTCTGTTCCAAAAGACCGTTATTGCGACGTTATAATATATCCGCGCGGTTTTCGTACACGTTACACTACTCACGCGTACACGAATATATTATGGCCGGGTTATAATATATTATCAATTCGTAATATATTATTATAAAATCAATGGTGGGTTTCGCCCCCCCCCCCCCCCCGAGGTGCTTTAATAAAATTAAACAAACGATGTAGCGCGTATTATGCAAGAAAACAAAATTTGAAATAATAATTACACGTTTTATCGATTTACAGCTACGAATGTAATTATATTTTGTTTAGTTTTAACAGAATGGTGGGAGAAAATATACATTTATATGTATATATATATATTTGAGAAATTAACGAGAAACATATTTGTAACATATTTTTGAGAACCGGTTACCTCGTAGGATACGAAGGATACGACCTGCGTAATGATAGGTAACTAAAGAAAAATACTGATTTCGATATTTTGATAACTATCTTTTACTTGCACAAAAACGCTATGATTAAAATTGTTGAACGCATCGCGGTTCCACGATTTTGACCTTACATGTTTTTCGTCCGTAATCGTTCAGATTCGATGCAATAACATTTCAACAATTACTATTTATAAATACAGTAATTATCATACGATGGTTTATTTTTTAGAAAAGAGATATTTACGGCAAATAGTTTAAAATCTCGTTAAAAAGTACAAATAATAATTAGAAATATGCAAATATACTTATGAACCGTTGAAAGAATTATGAATATTTAACTGTTTAAATAAATCTCAACATTGGTCCATATGTTATATATTACTTGTGTATTATAATTCAACAAACAGATATTTCTTGTATTATAATTGCTCATATTGGGTACCTATATATTATAATGTGTATACTGGCTTAAAAGTTAAACGTGTGTAATGTTTATATGAAAATCAACGAGTAAATTTATTCAATTCAGCGCTTTATGGATACTATAAAATTTGAGTTACACCACCTAATCGATACATTTATTAAAATTAATAACAAAATCCAAACCAAAAGAGAGTTTACATGTACATATACGTTGACGTCATGTCGTCTTATAATTTTTTCTATTGGAGTAATAACGGTGCTCGAGATATTTCACGACTGCAATCATAATAATACAAAATTAATATTATAATAATAATTGAGATATTATACTACGACGGTTTGCACCCTCTTCTCTGGAGATCGCGAAGAATCAAAAAACTTTTCCCAGCCCCCTCGGTATTGTGTATACAGAGATACTTTATTTAAATAATAACAACTGACGCCAAACATTATTATTTTTTTTTTTCATTCATGACATTAATGCAGACAATATTTAACTTTTCATATCTAAACTTAAAATGAAAAAAAAGGGGATGAAACACTAGAACACTTTTTCTTGTGTATTATTTTAATGCAAGTGGATTTCAGTCGGTAAGAGATATAACATAATTTTGAGCCACTATTAAAATGTAGGTATTTAATATTTTTCAGACATAAGATAAGGCGATAAAATTATAATAATAGTGCAATATATAGTTTACATAGGATTTATTGCTTATTGCACGTAGGTATTCGATACATAGGAATAATTTTTGTGAGCCGATTTATTTAATCATTAAAATTTTATTTTTAGTTTTTCATTTAAATTACAGCGCAATAAATATAAAATTAACGTGTCGTATTATGTATCTATTACAAATGTGAAGTGAACATTGAATACTTTGAATTTTTTCTTTACCTACTTTGTATTTTTTGGGCTTTATTTACATAAAGTAAACTCAATTAATCGACTCTTACGTTATCCATCATTGAATATGCATTAGAATAATGTATATTCATGCATATTTTTTATTGTATATACACAGAAGAATATGTATAGGAGAAAATCGTTTTCACGTAGAAAAATCTTTTCCTGCATCCCAGAAACTCTTTCGGCCGCTGTATAGGAGTAGATTGCCTACGGTAGGTTACGTTAGGTTAGGTTCGCGTAACACCTTTTTTTTATCATACTACTACGTAAACTAACATAAAAAAAAAAAAAAAAAAAGTGAATTTCGAAAAAAAAGTATTTTTCTTTATTATTCTGGCTGAATTAAATTAACACGTTTCGCGTAAAAATATTTCTAATCAAACCGACTCCACTTCAGTTGAACATCAAACTTATTGGATCTACATTTGTCAGATTTATCCACGAAATGTTCAAATGAAAAATAGTTGACGGTAAGATTTAGGGTTCTGTAGGTCTTAAAAACGGGACTTTTGGCCAGCCAAACGTTGGAACCGTCTCGTTGTGCGTCGGCGAAAAATAACTTAACGGATCTAGGACGGGTTTTTTTTTTTCGAAAAACCCTGGCCACGATCGTTTGACGTGCGTCTTACGGGCACCGTCGACCATTCGAACGGCCGGGTAGC